CGATCGGCGGGCTATGGACCCGCTGATCGCCTATATGTGAAACACCCGTTAACGGGTGTGTGCAATGGTCAGGTCTTTTCTGCCCGTGCGTGCCCGCTAGGGGGCGCACGCGAGCAGAAAAAAATTGCCGTCTGGAGACGGCAACCCGCCAATGCAGCAGTGCCGTCCGTCCGTTTTTTTTACTACGGGCGGACGGCAAGAGGTAAAGGGTTCAACTACGATGGCATTTTTAAACATTCAAATGAAGCCTGTGTCAAAGTACTAACCTAACCTTGCATATTATTAATAGACACCGTTAGGACTTGCTGACGTCAAGGTTATCCCTATTACACCCAAGGATCTCCTGTTTGAAAACCACATCCATATTTTCAGCAGGCAAGATATCTGGCAATGCAATCTGGGTGTTTTGGAAACTTGTTTGGCATGAGATGAAGGCTTGCCTATGATGGACTTTCTGAACAGAATAAATGTGCATAGGACTTTAATGGCTTCTTAGGCACAGTGGGATCACAAAGAGGTTAGCAAGGCAGTCTGTAGGCCCGTCATGGTAACCACTAGCAACACATACGTTTTTAAGGTTTTTGTTTTTTTCCCTAGTTCAGGTACACTTTAAATAGACCCAGACTATTCATTTCAAAAACGTTTTTCCATGTGATTATCTGTATATTTAATGTATCTTCTGCATGTTATTTACCGGTAAAAGCCTCTGTTGTGTAGACATCCAAAATACCTGAGGCTACTGATGGGCGCTGCCATCTTGGATGTGATGTCAGCAGACTTGGCTATGACACAAGTGGCACTCTTTGGTATTCCCCTTCACTCCTCCCCTGGTAGCTAAATGAAAGGTTATGTAGGGAGGGGAGTAGGACCTAAGCCAGACATGCTAGGAAGGAGAGGGCTGTACTATGGAACTGACTAGTCAATTTGTCTAGCAAGCTAAATGGCATACAGCAAGTGAGTAAAAAATCATTTATAGAGTGAAAAAAACTGAATTTAAAATACTGATTTTATTTTTATTTTCTGTGCTTTCATCTGCAATTTTGTTGGTGACGGGGTGTCGTTAAAGAATAATTGTACTTAATGTAATTGGCAACTGGTATTTACCTTAACAGATATACAGTATATGTGTACCCTTCACCAGCTGCCTGACCTGTACAAAGCTATCCTTCACTGCTCTAAATGTAGTCACATAAAGGGCAAGCAGCACACACCAGAGGAAGCGTGTTATGGCATCCACCCCCATTTGGCCCAATGCTTGGGAAATTGCACACAAATCTGCATGTGATTTAAAACACATCTGGCTTAAATTAGCTCTAATGAACTGATAGACTTTGGGGCCAAGCACGTATTATGCTGGGCACACACCTTACAACCATCCCAAGACTTTTGTCTTGCGATGGTCGTAAGGTACTTAAAAAAACATACGATCTGCCTATCTTGGACAGGCAGATCGTACTTGCGATGATCGCAAGCCGTGCCACCCTGTGGGGCGGGCTTCTGATGACCGCAATGCCGAACGGGCAGTGTGCGCTTGCGCACACCGGCCCGTCTGGCTTTTATCTTACAAACATGCTACACACTCGCCGAACATCGTACAATGCTCAGCGGGTTTTGCGAACATGTTCAGAAGTTACAAGTCGTGCGACCTTACAGTAGAGGTCGCACGGCTTCCACACACCTTACGATAATCGTACGATCGCGGGATTTCCCCCGATTATCATACGATTATCGTAAGGTGTGTGGGCACCCTTAGGTTGTATCACATATTGTATGCAGGTAATTTGTAACATGAAATTGATATTATCCCTGACCTTGTGTTTTAGGAGGTTCAATACCAATGTCATCAGTAGCAATAGCTGGCACAGGTCAGCCAGCCGTCACAAAGACCACATCGGTGCTCCAAGATGGAGTAATAGTGACCACAGCTTCTGGGGCACCAATGCAGAGCCACCATCCTATGGGAAACTCCTTCCCATTTCCAGGACCTGAGCTTTCAAATCATTTTGCACAGAATGCTACCAACAACCATCCACGACCCATCAACCCCAATCATCTAAACTCTCTGCCGATGCCATTACCCATGAACCAGCAGCATCTTCTGAATCAGAATATTTTGCATATGCTACAGCCTTCAACTGGAGAAGGCAAGTCTGTTCAATTTACTTTACTTAATGGAAGCATTGACTCTATGTAATGTTTTCTCTGTGTTGTCTGAAAGTGTATATAAAGCCATTCTTTCATTTGAATAGAGTGGGGGAAGGGTTCGAACTTCTTCCAGGTTTTCATTGCTGTTTGTATCCCTGTTGGGGATATTCACCCTCTGCTGGTCCTGGTGATCATTGTCTCCAATAAAATAGGTGATGGGAATTTGAGATTGTCACCAGAACGTGAGGTTTCCTATACACAACTAGGAGGTGATATCCTTTGGAGAGATCTTCTTTTACTTCCTGCTCCGTCATTGGGACAGGAAGTGAAGGGAAATCTCCCCAAAGGGAAACTGCAACAAAAAAATAGGAATTTGAAATATCCCCTACAAAATTAAAAGAAAAAGTTTGGGCTTTACATACATTTTAATTATGTGATTTCTCTTTCAGAAATGTATCACACCTAAAGTCTGCTTAAAGGGCAGGTTCACACCATTTTCCGAACCAGATCTAGAATGCATTGCGTTTTGACCGCTTTTTTACCACATTTGGAAATAAATTAATTTTCTTTTTAGCTTAAAATGGTCTTACAGGTGCGTTCCTGTGAGTTTGTATGCTTTTTTATGCGTTCCAGTGCATTCCAGACCAGACAAAATAAGACGAGCAGTATTTTTTCTGGTCTTGAATAGACTGCACTGGTGTGAACAGAAGCCAGAAATAGCATAGGGATGTATTTTGGGTTCGGAAACAGTCTGGAGATGATCCGGACATGGTGTGAATGGGCCCTTAGTATATATAATCTTGATTTGTATTTCATGTACATTCATCGCATTTGTGCACATTTAGTTTCTGCATTTGCTGCTCATTCTTATTGATTTCTGTCGGGTCCTGAACGTGCAACAAACGCAGAAAAGTAGTGCATTTAGCAAAATCTGCATCATGCGTTCCACGTTTTTTCCTCCACGTTTGTGTGCATTTTAACACGGACAAACGCGGCAGGAAAACGCGCATTGTACCATATGCAACATATGCAAATAAATGGCTCCATACACATAGCCGCGTATGGAGCCGTATATTTGCGTAGCGTAAACAAGCGCAAAAACAGAATGGAACCAAGATGCGTCCGGGCAGCGTATTTCTGTGTATTTTATGCGCATGTTTACACGTACATACGCACAGTTCATTAAAATTTCTATTAGGAATGATGCATTCTGGGAATGCAAATAGTGCATGCATGTACACACATACGCTCGTATATACGCAATATACAATTTTGCTTGTGTTGTGTGTGAATGAGGCCTTAAGTGGTACTGTTGTGCACACTCAAAAGCTCTTTTATAAATAAGCTTGCACAACCATAGAGATTTTAAAGTTAAGTGAAGATTGCAATTCTTGCTTAGGCCTTCTAAATTCACTTGAAGACCATGATGTACCCATAACCCTCTTGGTGTCCCCACCCCCCCTTAAATACAAAGCATCAGCAAAAAAGATCATCTGTACATATCTTTACTCTTTAAGATAAAGAAATGGCATCAAATTGTATCTTTGTCATTACAGGAGACATGTCATCAATGAACCCTCCCTTAAATAACCATCAGCTGTCTCACCTTCAGTCACTTCTAAACGGCAGTCAACAGCAACAACAGCAGCAGCAGCATCTACAAGGCTTTCCCAATCTTCACGCCTTGAAAGGACATGTTTCGGGGCCACCAAACAGTCTAAACCCCATGGCCTGCTTGTTTCAAAACTTCCAGGTAATTATAATAGTCATGGTACATACAGTACAATAGACTATTAAATGGGAACGTTACCCTTATCTTCAAAATAACGACAAAAGCACATTTAGAAATGTTTAGTAATGGTTTTATGTAAAATGATACTTTTTCTCATTCATTAGGATACATGGAAATAATAGTATCCAGGCTATCGCTACCTACAGGAAGAACTGGCCACTAACAAACAAAATAGTCTTTGGCCAGCCAGCCATATCCCCTCCCTTTTCCACTATGCTTCAGTTTTTTTGTGTCCTAGGAGGATGGCAATCTTTTCTCTATTGACAAAAATTTCACCATTTTCATCTTTTTCTTAGTGACATTAAAGGCTAAAGTCGTCGTCCCCCACCACAATGCTAAAGTAAGGACTTGCCCTTAAATGATGCCTCCTAATCTGATCTTCTTTCCTGTGATTTTTAACTGTCCCTCCAGCGCTGTCCTCCTCTCCTCTCCCACGGAGTCTGTGCGGGTGCACGCTGCTCCATAGACTTACCTTGTTTCTCTCATCATCTCCCGGCTGAACATCTGAACTGCGCATGCGCCCGCCCCAAGATCCTTTGCGGTCGTCCCAGAAATTTTCAGATGTTCAGACGGGAGCGCGTGGCGGAGACACAGGTAAGTATTAACCCTTTCAAAAAGGTTTTTTGTTGTTTTTTTAATCGTTTTGCATATATCTACTGCTTGCTAGCAGTAGATATATGCAAAACCAAATGAGGGATTAATAACCCTTTAAGCTCTTTCTTGCTTCAAGCAAGATTTCATCCATTAGTTCCTCTGCTCAGCTCTTTATGCAGCTAACCAGGTCAGTGTTTCCTCAGCAATAGCTTTGGAGGCTGTACCTGGACCCTGCTAGAGATTGCTGGGCTAGCTTAAAATGTGACTTTCGGGCAATTGGCTCTGCTTGTGGCACTTTGCAAACCCCTGTGTACTGTATTAGTTTGCTGCAGAGTGCTCTCGAGGTCCAGGACCACAGTAAGTCTCTTGATAACTCCTTTATCCCGTGTCTGGGCATTTGTTGTTCTTGGAGAAATTGGTGCAGTATCTAGACAGACCGACTTGCCTGACACCAAGGACCAGGTTATCTTTGGCGTGGTAGCTCAGGCATCCAGCTTTGTAAGGGGAAATTCTTTGCAACGGATGCCAGCCTGAAGGACTAAGTAGTAGTCCTAGACACCTTATCAATACGAGGGACATGCGTTACAGGTGAAAAACACCGGATGTGGACCTTCTGGCCTCCAGGTTCAACAACAAACAAATGCACAGGGTTTGTCTCCAGATGCAGAGATCTCCTTGTGGAAGAAGTGGATACTCTGGGATGGTAAGCCTGGGGAGGAAAGAATTAGATGATTCTGGACGTCGTCCTGCCAGATAATGAGGCCTGCTGAATCCGGTTTGCAGCAGCTTCTAAAGCATGCTGTGAGAAGTGTGTTGTGAAATCAGAGTAAGCAATTTAAATACAGGAGAGCAGCCTGTGCAAGACTGAAGGGAAGGCTGGAGTTCAGCTTTGACTGCTACCGAAGCAACTTTGTAATTTAATGGTATCAAAAATGTCCTTTCTCTTTCAGTCTTCATTCAGCAATGATATTTTAAAACTGCCCCAAAAAATGATCACCCCTACAGCAAGGCAAATGGTACTCTGTGTAAATGACTCCAAACAATTCCCATCCCCATGTTCATGTAATTGATCACTGCTTTTCCCAGAAGTCTGCGCAGAGCTTGAGGTCAAATTGCATGCATCCTCAGCAACTTTCTTAGACTTATAGCAGTAAAGCATTTGCACTTAGCAAGATCCCCGACAAAAGTGTTACATGTCTATAGGGCAGCCAGTGGGATGCAGAAACTTAGCACTTACTTTTAGTAGGAGTGCTGGCAGTGCCTTGGAACAAAAGTACCCAAGAATCTGCATTAAAAGTGGTAATGTATTTGCAGTATCCAAAAAAGCATAACACTCACCGCTCTAACTCCTCCAGGCTGCAGATCAATACAGACCTCGGGTGCAGGCTGCAGTGTGCTCCCACTTGTCAAACAATATCTCTCCAATCAGCCGCACAAAACCGAGGTCCATAAAAATCCAAACTTATTGTTGTACATTCCATTCAAAGTACCAAGGTATACACCACCATAGTATCTCTCCCACTTCAACGCCTCTCATGCGTTTCACCAGCTGGGCGAAATCATAGAGGTGCTCTATGATTAAGCCCAGGTGGTGAAACCCGTGAGAGGCGTTGGAGTGGGAGAGATGCTATGGTGGTGTATACCTTGTATTTTGAACTTTGCGTGGAATGTACAACAATAAAGTTGGATTTTTATGGACCTCGGTTTTGTGCGGCTGATTGAAGAGATGATGTATTTGCAGTGTTTATAGTTTACATGCTAAGGTTTATTGTTGTTTTTGTCTTTTTTAAAGGCTCATATACACAGGTTTCTGCTGGTGTCTGAGCTGCTTTCCTTTCCTGTAGAAGTCAGTGTTAATACAAAAGCAACGTAAAGCAGCTTTATAAACTCGCAGTGCTTATGTATACCAGCGTTATGTAGGAGGTACTTCCTAAAGTAGGCTCCCTAGGCCAGACTTTTACCCTACAATCAGGCCATGGAAAGGGTTGTCTCTGAAATAAGACATTTAGGGCAAACAATGTGAATAGTTAGCTGATTGCTAAATACAGTGGTACCTCGGTTCACAAACTTAATTGGTTCCACGATTCTGGTCGCGAACCGAATTAAATTTCCTCAAGGTTAATCCATTCTGACCCCTACAAACGTGGTCGCGTTCTTGTCGCCTTAATTACCGCTCTGCACTTTTTACCTCCCATGCTTGCTCTGCACTTTCTTGTCACCGTCATTAAGGCCCCATTCACACTGAGCGACTTACCTTTAGCGGCGGATCCGCGCGGCCGGGATAGCGTGCCTCTTCAGGGCGACGATCCAGTGACGGTAGCGCGACCTTTGCCGTCGGGATCCATTAAACAATATAAAAATCGTGCAAAATCCGCCGAAAAAAGGGTCCTGCTGGAGCGACATGGAGCTAAGTCAGCATTGGCCGGCCACTTCTCGCAGTATCGCAAGGCAAAAATGCGCGATAAATCGCTTAGTGGGAATGGAGCCTAACGCTCTGCATGTTCTTGTCACCTTCATTAACGCTCTGCATATTCTTGTCACCTTCATTAACGTTCTGCACATTCTTGTCACCTTCATTTCCGCTCTGCACGTTCTTGTCACCTTCATTTCCGCTCTGCACTTTCTTCTTACCACCATGCTTGCTCTGCACTTTCTTTGGAGCCACGCTGGATTGAATAATACTGTACAGTACTGTATGTGCTCAAAAGCACAGAAAAAAGCTTCACAGCAAGTGTGCACAGGTCTGTCTGTGACTGCGATCTCGACTAGAGGAAGCCACGACCACGTGTCAGAGCGGGGAAGATGGTCGTGTTCGTCATCCGATGCAGAGATCGCGAACGGAGGCAAAATTTTGCCGAACTTCTTGTTCGCGAACTGAATTGTTTGCGAACAGAAGCGTTCGTGAACTGAGGTATTACTGTAAGATGTTTCTAACATAACAGTTCCTCTTTAAATAAACACTAATTTAGTTAGTTAATCTTCTACGGAGCATTGGTTTCCTTTTAAAGGGGACCTGTCATCAGATGAATATATAGGCTGCAGTAGTTGAATTCCTTCAGAAAATGTTGAATGCCTGGCTGTCTGTAGACTTAATAGTTTCCAAGCCATTGATCTGGAACAAGGATGAAGCAAGTTAGGAAGAAGGCATACCTCTGTATCCTTGCTCCAGGCCAATGACTCGCAAAGCTTCGAAGATCAACCAGACAGCCAGACAATTGGCATATTCAGAAGAAGAGGTCAGTATTGCTCACCTACATGTACCTCTAATGCCAGGTTTCTGTCCTGACAGTCTGGAAGCCTATATAATGCTTGTTCAATTATCTCACTTCCACAGATGAAAATGCAAGAAAACAAAGAGGTCAGTGCGCAGATGGGAACGTCTTCAATCTCCGAAAACCCAAACTCATCGCTTCCTCCATTCCCCGACAAATCTTGTAACATGCCGCATAGGACAGAACAGTACATAAAAGATAGCGTCCGAGAAGGAGACAGTTCGGTGGACGCCATTTATAAAGCAGTGGTTGACGCGGCCAGTAAAGGCATGCAAGTGGTCATCACGACGGCAGTGTCCAGCACGACGCAGATGAGCGCTATCCCAGCACTAAGTGCCATGAGTGCCTTCACTGCATCCATTGGTGATCCATTAAACCTGTCAAGCGCAGTGAATGCCATCATCCATGGCAGAAACATGGCAAATTCTGATCTGGAGGTCAGGACACGGAACACAAGAGGTACCCGAATGAGGAAGAACCTGGATCAGAACAAACACATGGCGGATGGGGATGGTTTTGATTATTTCAGAGCGGGATGCAATACACCTAAAAGGCAGTGGAATGGCGGTCAAAGTCCGGGTGACATGAACAGGTGGAAATGTGAGGACTATTTGGACCACAACGCACAGGTCCATGGCAACCCCTACCAAGCGAGGTCTGGCAACATCTCTCTATTGCACTCCTTTGAAGATGAGCAATGCCAGATCTTGCTGCCGCCCAGACACTGCCCAAATGATAAGATGCTAGAGGAGAATTTTAGGTTTAACCATTACAAAAGGACTATGATGAGCTTCAAGGAGAGGTTGGAGAGCACTGTGGAACGTTGCGCGCACATGAACGGCACTCGGCCCCCGCAGCACAGGGGGTTCGGGGAGCTCCTGAACATCCCCAAACAAGAGGTCAACATGGAGGAACAATCTCCCAGCTCTTCCAACAGTTTAGAAAGTTCTTTAGCAAGAGACTACATTCATTATAATGGAGACTTCCATGCCAAAGGCATGAACGGGTGCGTCCCTAGCCCCTCGGACACTAAGAGCATCAGTAGCGAGGATGACCTGCGGATTCCCGACTCCCCTTCTTCTAATGATTTAATGCATTATAGGCCAAGGACGTTTAATATGGGTGACTTGGTCTGGGGGCAGATTAAAGGACTGGCATCGTGGCCTGGAAAATTTGTGCGGGACGACCTGCGTAATTCATATCAACAGAACTCGGAGGAAGGGAAGGTAAAACACTGCTTATTTGTTTCCAGTACATGTATATATGCTTTGTTCATTATTTTTTTATTCATGCGCAAGCTTTATAACTATTGAGGAGGCACGGAAATTTTGGCCACCGAAACAGATCGGCCGGAAAATGTATGTAGGTATGTGTTCGCTCACTTCCCTATGTACTGAGCCGACCTGTGACAGTTTCATTGTCACAGGTCGGCTCAGATTATGATGCTGAGTGAAAATCACTCGCCTCATAATTCTCCTTTAAGGCTGGAGATGAAACATTTCAGGTTCTTTTTAGTCTAGTAAATAGAAAAGATTGCGTAAAAATGTGCAACAGGTCTAGAGTGTGCTGACTGCAAGTTTCCTGCAGTTTCTCGAGTCTCTTCTGTAATGAGAGGGTAATTGGTCCCCTGCTGTTTAATTTTATTCAGAACGCGCATAGCTGTGTGGGCCCATTCACACCGAATTCCCGGAGTAAATTTTAAACGTTTTACAATGACAATGCCATTGAAAGTGACATTAAACCCTCAGATGTTTTAACATAAAACAATACTGTAATGTGTGCCTTACTGTAATCCATGGTTGTTTCCCTTCTCTTTGCTGCTCTTCCTTTTAAATCCTCATGTCTTCTCATGCTTGGGAAGAACTTCCCTTTTCAGCTCAGGGCCTTCCTGTAGTGCTGGCTCAGGTTACAGCCTATACAAACGTATACACAGACACCGTATATCCATTCCTGAGACAAGGCAGTCTGCTGCAAAACAGAAGTTCTGCCCAGCATGAGAACACATACATATTTAAAAGGAAGAGCAGCAAAGAGAAGGGAAACAACCATGGATTACAGTATTGTTTTATGTTACAAAATCTGAGGGTTTAATGTCACTTTAAGTAGAAACCCTGATTATTGCTATGTGGTGAGAGATTGCACATGCAACATTTTGGTGTGTGCTTGAGTTAAGCTGTCCCAATTAAATGAATAATCACAAAAAATATGCATCAGGCATTCCTGTGTGTGTTTCGCACACCTTCATGGAAAATTCCCATTTTCAATGTTCCTCCTCTACTTCCCTAAAGCTTTGTAAAAAAACATTGCTGGCCGGTAAGAGAGAAGTTCACCTGCAAAGTGTCTGATCCACCAGGTGCACAATGAATGAAAAAATCATCTTACTTATTCTGCAGTCCCGAGTCTGGATAATATTCTGTGCTTTCATTTAGGTGGACAGTGACAAGCTGAGGACATTGACGGAGGGACTGGAAGCTTACAATCGTGTCCAGAAAAGCAACAGAAAGTAAGGAACACCTTATACGCCATCATTTTAGTATTTATGTACTTTAAACTAGAGCTGCAGCTAACGATTATTTTGAAAATCGATTAGTTAGCCGATTATTACGTTCGATTAATCGGATAATAAAATAAAATACATTTTAAAGAATGGCTCCAGTAATGGGACTACTAGTTTGTATTGAGATTGTAGTCCATCACAGGAGCAAGCTTGGAGCGGTGGAAGTAAAAAAGAAAAGTGTGGTGTGTGCAATATAGTGAAATGAAAAGTGTAAACTTATACAGCAATGAATGCAGAATACCAACCAGCTATAGAGGACTACAAAACCCAGCAATAGTACATTATATCTGGTGGTATTCCGCATTGCGCTGTATAATGTACTATTGCTGGGATTATCTAGGATTTGTAGTCCTCTATAGCTGATGGTATAATATACAGCACAATGTACCATCAGCTATAGAGGAATACAAATCCCAGCAATACATTATAGAGCACCATGTGTGGGGAGTGCAGGCTTACCTGAGCAGTCTTCCAGCAACTTGTTTCTGAGATCGGGCCTGTCTATCGGCGGCTGTCATCCCCCCCCCCCACACCTGCGCATCCTTACTTCTTCTCCCTGCGCCCCCTGTGCCAATCGTGGATGTGGGTGGGCGGGCGGTGAGCGTGAGGGGGGGAGGAGGTGCTGCGTGTGGATTCGGGTGGGCGGGTCTGGCAGCGGTGGGGAGGAGGTGCGGCGTGCAGTTTGTGTGGAGCCGTCAACAGGGCCAACTAATCAGAGGGCGATTAATCGATGATTGAAAAAGTTGACAACTTTTTCAATAATCGATTATAATCGATTATGTCGATTTAGTTGTTGCAGACCTACTTTAAACTAAAACTTTCTCAGCTCCACTTAAAAACAGTATTGTCCCTTTGGTTAGACTGGAGGTCTTGTGTACAATGTATAAACACTTGTTGTATTTCCTATTCTAGAAGTGGAACACTAAATAACCATCTAGAAGCTGCGATACATGAGGCCATGAATGAGCTGGACAAAATATCTGGCAATGTAAGTTGTATGAGACGGCATGGTCCCTCCCTTCCAACACCTAAAAGACAAGTAAACTTTCCCCAAAAATTCCATCCCCACAGTAGACCATTTGTACAGAGTATGAAGAGTAAGAAGGAAGGGTGCTTTTAACATCCCAAATTGTACGCCAATGGTGCAGACATTTTATATGCAATTTTTTTTGTGACAGGTTTAAATTTGTTCATAATGCACCGTTTTTTTTAATTTGTTTTGTTTCTGGTTGTTTCAGTACAGTACTTTGTCTGCAGACAACTTTCTGGTTATGTCAGTACAGTGCTTAATGTATCTCTGCCAAAATATTTCTGGCTGTCAGTATGGTACTGGTTGTGTCTCTGCAGACATATTTGTGGCTGTGTCAGTATGGTACTGATTGCGTCTCTGCAGACATGTTTCTGGCTGTGTCAGTATGGCACTGGTGGTGTGTCTGCAGACATTTTTCTGGCTGTGTCAGTATGCTACTGGTTGTGTGTCTGCGGACATGTTTCTGGCTGTGTCAGTAAGGTACTGGTGGTGTGTCTGCAGACATGTTTCTGGCTGTTTCCTGCAGGCAGGTCAGTATGGTACTGATTGTGTCTCTGCAGACATGTTTCTGGCTATTCGGTGGAAGATGGCAGACACAGGTACTCGTTTTAGACATCCGAGCATTAGTACGAGTACTCATGCAAATACTCGGTATCGCGGCCAATACCGATGCTTGTATCGGTATCGGTACATCCCTAGTCAGTATGGTACTGGTGGTGTGTCTGCAGACATGTTTCTGGCTGTCAGTATGGTACTGATTGTGTCTCTGCAGACATGTTTCTGGCTGTGTCAGTGCAGTACTGGTTGTGTGTCTGCGGACATGTTTCTGGCTGTGTCAGTATGGTACTGATTGTGTCTCTGCAGACATGTTTCTGGCTGTGTCAGTATGGTACTGATTGTGTCTCTGCAGACATGTTTCTGGCTGTGTCAGTAAGGTACTGGTGGTGTCTCTGCAGACATGTTTCTGGCTGTGTCAGTACGGTACTGATTGTGTCTCTGCAGACATGTTTCTGGTTGTGTAACGACTAGGGATGCACCAATACTAGTATCGGTATCAAATTACCGAGTATTTAGGTGAGTATTTGTACTGTCATTACACGCCGCCTGGCTTCCTTAATGGGACTTTCTAAATCGGTATTAGTTATCGGTGAGTACCGGAAAAAATATATCAGTACGCGATGCCGAAAAAAACGGTATTGGTGCATCCCTAGATATTTTTATGAATGAGCACCTGGGCATTTACCTTACAAAGTGTGGTGGCTACTTCTGGAGCGCGCGTGTGTGTGTGTGTGTGTGTATATGTATATATATATATATAGATATATATATATATATATATATCTATATATATATAGATACATATATCTTTATTCCACCCATCTTAGAGGTGTGCCTGAAGTTCTGCTCGTGCGACGTGTTTGTGATCAATACTTTCCACTGATGTTATTTTCCGTGTACTTTAGGTGTCTCAGAGGGATCGACAGCTGAAGGCCCCAAAACCCAAGAGGAGGAAGATCTCCAGATAACATTGACAGAGCTTAAGATCATTTATCTGTATATAGGCATTGATATTAATATATGTATATCAATATTTCTAGATATCACCACCTGGTGTAAAGTGAATATATGTGGTAAATATTTTTGCATTTTAGGCATGT